TTAGTTTCTTCATCTTCTGGGATACCAATTATTCAGCTGTTAGGACGTCTAATGGAATCTAGTATTTCTCATATATTATCTTCATTTTTTTGTTGTTGTTATTTTCTCTATCTTGTTGGTGGTTTTCTCTAGGTCAGAAGTTTTATCTTCTACATCAGAGGTTCAATCTTCAGCATGGTTTAATCAATGTTTAATACTTTCGAGAGAGTTTTTGATTTCCTGTATTACAGACTTCACCTCTAATAGTTCTGTCTTTTTCTTTCTTAGTGTGTCCATTTCTTCCTTCATATCGTGGAAGGACTTTCTTATCTCCTGTAGTTCATTGTCTCTTTTCTGTTCCAGCTCATAGTATTTGTTCAACATGAATGTTCTAAACTCTTATTTCGGACATTTTGGTAATGTCCTCTAGTTTTTCGAGAAAAGGAAGGGAGTTACTGTGTTCTTTTGATGGAGACATATTTCCTGCTTTATTCAGACCTGAGGTTCTTCTTCTACTTCTAACCATTGGGAGATGTGTTCCCTTTGAAAAACCTTTTAAGAGAACATTTCCTCGAATAGGAGCAAGTGTGTTTCCTTTTTGCTGTGGAATGAAGACAGCCAAAGTTTCTTCTATTGTGTTTACCAATGTGATCCAAGAGAAAATATTCTTTTCAGGTGTACAAAGAAAAGTGTCTCCTTTGCAGGTGGTTCAGTGAAAAGGAGGATCCCAGAGAGTCTTAAAATACTAGAATATTTCAGAACTGTAATTCTAGACCTATCTAAACCACCAGAAATGGTGTAGATAAAGGAAGTGAGGACCAAATAAGTGGGAAGAAAATAATAAGTAGGATAAAGAAAAAGTCGTGCACCGTGATTTCACCAGGGGTCAAAAGATGGGAGTGGGGTTTCTGTAGGACTGAGGGCATATCTATGTGGTAATGAGAAGAGAGAAATTTACAAATGAAAGAAGAGGAGAAGGAGGGGAAAAGGAAGGGGAAAAAAAAGTGTACCTGGCTGACAGAGGGGTCTCTAGCTTGGGGATCCTGGGGCTGAAGCTACGGGGACAGTCCTCCCCTCGAAGTTCCTGGCCCAGGGGTCGAAAGATGGGAGTGGTATGTAAATGATTTTTAATACTTCTCTACAAATCAAGATATTAGCTATTGGATAAAATAGAAATATATTCTATCTTAAGGGGTAAATGTATAGTATTAAGTCTATAATTCTAATTTTTCAAATTAGAAAAATTAATAGGGAACTCATGTGAAAATTGTCAAATTAACTTCTGGTATTTATTAAGATAGTGTTTTTTCTCTTTTTACTTCTCATAATGATGTATAAATATTGTTTTAACCTTCAAACATTTAAAATCTTCTTAAGATTAGGCCATAATATATATTTCAATGGTGTTTTTGTGCTTAATTTAATAAAAGTGTTTTTCATCTGGGTAGATCAGGATATGAATAGACTCTCAGATGAAACTTTGACACTTGAAGATCTGGAAAGTACTACAGGACACAAAAACCAATTTCAAACAAGTGACACTGACCAATCTCAGAGTTTGAGAAGTAAGTATGATATTGATTCATATATTTTAAAATGATAGTTATAAAGCACTTGATGATTTAAAATATATTTTAAATGTTTTTTGGCTTATAGTTTTATGGTCAAATTTTGTAAATTAGGTATTTTGGAACATATTTTACCTAAAATTGGAGTTCCACAGAACTAGTGAAATATGTAATGCTATTATCATCTCTCTTTAGATATTATATTCTTCAGCATTCTTATTATTATGCTGTATTTCATAAGTTTATTTGTCCAAGGAACATTGCTATTTTCTTTTTTACAAATTAGTGTTTCTGGAGTATTAATTTAGAAAATACTTTCTGTTAATTTTATAGAACTGTCACAACTATTTCATTTTTTTAAAGTATGACATTCACTCAGTATTCACATTTCCACTCTTAATAAATTATCTGCTAATATATATTTTCTATTATCTAGTAGAATTTATTTTTTATATTGTGACATACTTTACCCATGATATGAGTAGTATATGCATGTTATGTTTTGGATAATGATTTCTTCCCCAAAGGTTTTTGTTTTGGAGTTTGGTCTTGGTGGGTAGAGTAGTGTGTGTGTGTGTGTGTGTGTGTGTGTGTTTAGGGGCGGTGTGTTGGGAGGGTGGCGAAGGCTAGTGGGCTATGATAGGATCATGGTGATTGGATCTCTGAGGCACTGGCCTCATGAGTCAATTAATCCTCTCTTATGGAAGATGCAGTATGTTCAAGCTCTTGTGAGGAGTTAATTCTGATTCTCACAAGGCAGATTGTTACAAAAAGAAGTTAGTTGCCTCTAGGTTGTTCTGTGTCTGCACATGCTTACTATCCTTTCCACTTCTGTTTGCCATATTAAAGTTGACCTTATGCCTTTGACTTTTCCAGCTACTAGAATAATGAGTCAAATAAACCTCTATTCTTCATAAATTACCCAGTCTCAGGTGTTTTTGTAAACAACACAATAATGGACTAAGAAAATATATTTATCCCAAATCCATATATTGGAACTTAAGATCTGACATGATGATACTTAGAAGTAAGACCTTTAGGGAAATGATTCAATCATGGAGCTCCACCCTTCAGAGTGAAATTAGTGCCTTTTTAAAAGAGGTATAAGGATATTCTCACATTCCCACTAACAATGGACAAAGATTCCCTTTTTCTTCATAACCTTGCCAGCACTTGTTCCTTGTATTTTTTTTTTAATCATAATTATTCTGACTGGGTTTAGGTGATATCTCACTTTAGGTTTGATTCACATTTTTCTTGTGATAAGAGATGTTCAACCTTTTTTTCCATATGCTTTATGGGCATTTTTATGTCTTGTTTTGAGAATTTTCTGTTCAGATTGATTGCCAGTTTTTAAAATTGGATTGTTATTTTCATTCATTTTTTGAGGTAAGCTGCTTGAGTACCTTATGTACTTGTGTAATTATATAATCTGCTTGAGTACCTTATATATACCTTATCTAGAGTATAGTTTGCAAATATTTTCTCCCCTTCTGTGGCTTGTCTATTTTTTATTTTCATTGCTGTGCAGAAGCATTTTAGCATGATATAATCACCTTTGCATATATTTAATGTTGTCCACCATATTTCAGGGGTTCTTATTTAAGAAATCTTTGTCCAGTCCAATATCTTCAAGTATTTCCCACATGTAGTTTTATAGTTTGGAGCTTTACACTTAAATCTTTAATGCACTTTGAGTTTAGTTTTATTAATAGTGAGAAGTGGGTCTAGATTCATTTTTTCTGTAGATAAATATCCAGTTTTCCCAACACTATTTGTTGAAAAGACTTTATTTACTACAGTGAATTATCTGTGCCCATTTAGTTGGCTGTAAATTTGGGGGCTTATTGCTGGATTCTCTAATCTGTTCCATCAAGCTATGTATGTGTTTTTGTGCCAGTAGCATGCTATTTAGATCATTACAGCTTTGGATATGTTTTGAAGTCAGGCTGTGAGATTCCTCCAACTTTATTCCTTTTGCAAATATTACTTTGGTAATACAAGGTCTTTTATGATTCCAGATAAATTTTGTTTTCTATTTCTGTGAAGAATGTTGCTGGTAATTTGATGATAATTGCATTCAATTTGTAAATTAATTTGGGTAACATTTTAATTGTAATGAGTCTTCTAACTGAAGAACAAGAGATGACTTTCCATTTTTCCGTATCTTTTCAATTTTTCTTCAGTTTTATCATAGTTTTCCTTGTAAAGGTCTTTCACTTCTTTTTTTGGGGGGGGGAGAGATTTTTGCTGTAGGGCACATGTGCTCACCAGAAAGAGAGAGAGAGACAGAGAGACAGAAAGCAAGAAATCACCCCCTGTTGGGGGGGGGGAGGGATGGCCACACAGCAATCCCTTCTCCTCCATTCTCCTCTCAGGATCTTGGGCACGCACACACACACGCTTGGCATGAGTTCAAGCCACCGGGTCCGGGACTCAAACTGCGGTCAGCTACATGGGAGTCCAACGACATAGCCATTACGCTAACTGCTGGCCCCAGAGGTCTTTCACTTCTTATGTTGGATTTATTTCTGGATTTTTTAAAATTGCAAATGAAAATACTTTCTTTAATTTTGCCTCTGTTTGCCCACTGTTGGTGTGTTTAAAAAAATATATAGATTTTTGTGTATTGACTTTGTATTTGAATTCATTCTAGCAGCCTTTTGGCAGATTGTGTAGAATTCTTTAAGTATATAATGTTATCTGCAAATAGGAGTGATTTAACTTTTTTCTTTCCTACTTGAATGCTTTTTTCTAGTCTGTTGTCTGATCACATTAGCTAAAATTCTCAGCACTATATTAAAAAGGAATGAAGAAAATGATCAACCTTGCCTTGTTCCAGTTTTTTTTTTTCTTTTAAGTGAGAAAACATTTAGCTATTCCTCATTTAGTATGAGGTTAACTATGGGTTTGTCATATGTGGATTTTATTGTATTAATAAGTGCACATTCTACAGCTATTTTGTTGAAAGTCTTCATCATGAAAGGATGTTGTATTTTTTTAATGCTTTTTCATTGACATAATCATATAGTTTTTTCTTTCCTTTTGTTAATGTAATATATTACATTTATTGTTTTGTGTGTGTCAAATCATCCTTGCATCCTGGGGAGTTAGCCTACTCAATCATCTTTTTTATTTTTATTTTTTTGAGAGGTTTTCGCTATAGGGCATGTGCGCTCGCCAGACAGACAGAGACAGAGAGACAGAAAGCGAGAAATCACCCCCCCAGGGGGGATGGTCATGCTGCAATCCCTTCTCCTCCATTCTCCTCTCAGGATCTTGGGCACACACGCACATGCGCCCGGCGTGAGTTTTAAGCCACCAGGTCAGGGACACGAACTGCGGTTGACTACGTGGGAGTCCAGTGACATAGCCATTACACTAACTGCTGGTTCCCCTCAATCATCTTTTTAATAGTTGGATTCAATTTGTTAGTATCATGTGTAGGATTTTTGCATCTATATTCATAAAAGCTATTGGTCTATAGTTTTCATTTTGTGTTGTATCTTTGTCTGCTTTTGATATCAAGGTGATGGTGATTTCATAAAATTAAAATAGGAGTATTCCTTCCAATTGGATCATTAGAAATAGTCTGAGGAAAATTGATGCTAATTCTTCCTTAAAAGTTTTGCAGAATTCAGTAGTGGAACCTTGTGGACCTGGGCTTTCTTTGTTGAGAGACTATTACTTATTCATTCTCATTTTTTCTTATAGGTATATTCATGCTTTTTGTTCCTTACTGGTTCAATCTAAGTATATTGTATATGTCCAGAACATTTTCCATTTCTTCTAGGTTTTGCAATTTGTTGGCATAGAGTAGTTCATAGTATTTTATAATACTATTTATATTTTCATGCTATCTGTTGTAATATTGCTGTTTCCATTTCTGATTGTGTGTGTCTCAGTCCTTCTTCTATTTTTCTTAGGTAGTCAGGCTAAGGGATATTTTTTTTAATATTGTTTATCTGCTCAAAAAACTTGCTTTTTGGGAACCATCAGTTAGCGTAATAGCTATGTCGCTGAACTCCCACATAGTTGACCGCGGTTTGCGTCTCGGACCTGGTGGCTTAAATCTCACGCCGGGCGCATGTGCGTGCGTGCCCAAGATCCCGAGAGGAGAATGGAGGAGAAGGGATTGCAGTGTGACCATGCCCCCTGGGGGGTGATTTCTCGCTTTCTGTCTCTCTGTCTCTCTCTGTCTGGCGAGCGCACGCGCCCTATAGCGAAAACCTCTCCAAAAAAAAAAAACTTGCTTTTCATAATTGTTTTATATATATAATATTCTTTTATATATATATTCTTTTTATAATTTTAAAATTTCTTTGATTTTATTTATTTCTGCTCTAATATTTATTATTCATTTTCATCTATTCCATTGTTTTCCCTTGCTTTTCCAGTTCCTTGAGATGCATTATTAGGTTTTTTTTGTTTTGTTTTGGTTTGTTTTTTTTTTTGCTATAGGGCACGTGCGCTCGCCAGACAGACAGAGAGAGACATAGAGACAGAAAGCGAGAAATCACCCCCCAGGGGGGATGGTCACGCCGCAATCCCTTCTCCTCCATTCTCCTCTCGGGATCTTGGGCACGCACGGACACGCGCCCAGCGTGAGTTTTAAGCCACCGGGTCTGGGACGCGAACCATGGCCGACTACGTGGGAGTCCAGCGACATAGCTATTATGCCAACTGCTGGTTCCCCATTGTTAGGTTTTTTTATTTGCCATTTTTCTATTGTGTTTTTCTTGGTAGTGCTAAATGCTATAAACCACCCTCATAGCACTGCTTTCACTACAACCCAAATATTTTGGAGCATGGTATTTTCATTAGCTTTTGTTTCAGAAATTCATTAATTTCAGTTTCAATGTTTTTCCAAGCCAGTCAGGAGCAATTTGTTTAGTTTCCTTGTGTATTTTTGAAAGCTTGTTATGTTGTTGATTTCAATTTTAATTTCATTATGGCCAGAAAAGATGCTAGATATGCTTTCCAGTCTTTTAAATTTA